ACAATGAGAATCGAATCGCCGCACTCTCAAGGCGCACGCGAGACAAGTTGCAACGATTGCACGTGACCTCGCCCACACCTTCGTCTCGTGTATCGAATGAGCCTGGAATGGCACAATGCTGACAATGTGTAGTCGTTAAAAAGCCCCTCGTGTACCTCGTTTCTGTACGCTTACGTTAACGTCGCAAAAGCGTTTGCGAATGCGATTTACCATACAAATCGGCCGCTCTCTCACCAAAGCTCGTATGCACGCACATGCACGCGATACTTGTCACACAAACGGGTGTGTCATCGGTTTGGCGCATTACCAAAGTTTCGAAACGTTACGACACGACGAGACGTTCAAAATGTCGCGACGTCGGCCTCCAAGTGTGTTACGTTCATCCGTTCTAGCGCAATCGCGAGAAATTCAACGTGAATCTATTTCGAGCAAGGAGTATTTACTTAAGCATTATCTGTACTTCAAGCAAAATATTAATTAAATACATATTGTGATAGATTATTTTTATAAATTTAGAACCGATTTTCTTGACTTTAAAGTTATTTTTTATGGAAAATTGTAACTATACTAATTCAAGAGTCTAAAATATAGCAAATGATAAAAAATATATTTGAAATTAACTTAAAATTGATTTTACCACGATTTAATGTATAATAAATGGAGCCACCAAAATGTTCAATCAAGTCATAAAGTAACAATAAGACTTCTTATTTTCAGTTTTATAAAGATATTTTCAATTATTAATCGTTACATTTAATGTCTAAGTACACTGATATTATTGATATTAATATGCCATATCGATTAAATTTCACCTGCGCAACGTGAAATGTCCAAGAATTAACTATTTTGCCGCAACAATTCGGGTCGTAGAGACTATGACAAGAATGCGATGAATAATTTCAAGACGCAATTCAATATTCCGTCTCAATGGTGAAGGGTCAGTCGGAGCGATGGTCAGTCGACAGGTGCGAATGACAGTCGACAGGTGACAATGTGCGGTCGACCTGCTAGTCGAACGTGGAACGCGTTTTAATTACCTTGTCGGTCGTTTCCGTCCGATCTAACAGTCGCCGTTTATATTCGGAAATACGAGTTTTCCCAGTATTATCAACGCGGAGAAATAAAAATTATCTCCAGAGATAATTCCAGAGATAACCGCAAGACTACTAAGACCACAAGTATATTAAAACAACGCTGATCTGAAACGTATATTCTTCATTATATAAAAAATAATTTTATAAAATAATTAACACTTTTCACGATTTTATCATAGAATATTCAATAAAGAGAAATTAATTTTTTCTATTAAAATAGACGTTTTAAAAATTACTAAAAAATTAGTTATTATTCACAGATCAGACTCCTCTCTACAGATCCAGGAAGATCATTCTCTATACTCTTCCTTACATCGAAGCCAAAGTATCGTTCTCACCGCAGCCTACTTTTAACGCATAGCAATCCTCGTCGCGGGCGTCGGCTAGCGTGAAGATCCTACAATTCCATCCAGCAGAACACAATTCTGTTCCGATCATCTCGAGGAAGACTCGCCTACCCGCCCACTTCAGCATCACAATGCTGCGCGACATAGCAATACGTCGAAATGCCCGATATATCTCTTTTTACACGAAAAGGATAGAACAGCGATTATTATTGCAAATGCCAGCGGCGAAACGACCTGGTTCTACCGTCAGATCTAATGTTTATTTATCGAGTTCACGGTTCATCCTCTTTCCGGCCCAGTTATCGCTCTACCGCACTGCGTTCAACGCAAGAGGACGCTAATCTCGGAAACGTGATGTAAAAAATTGCACTAGAACTATTATAAAAAGTATAGAGAGTAGATTATGACACGTCGTATTTTATATGTGTTATAAAAAATTATATTTACAATTCCATATAAAAAACAACGTATGTTGCAAAATGCCATATCATTATATGGCGCTTATTATATCGCGTTTTATATCGTGCTTAATTTCCAACAGCCTCTAGAAATCTTCGTGTCTTAAGAATTTCTAAATTTGTTGAAGAACGTATTTTTGTAATGGAATCCCTATACAAGTATTATTAATTTATTATTTTTATTAAATTAGCAATTGTATAGTTAAATAAAATTAATCGATTTAATGTTTAAATAGTGGAAATATCAATATCATTTTAAATCAATTTATGGTTTTTTTTCATATTATGTATAACATAATACTTAGCCTGCTAACGGAGAAAGTATCATTTCGCCAAACAGAGAAATCCCTGTTGCATTTTGATAAACGACGATGAGTTTATCGACCCTGGTTATTGCGACATTCGAAATCGCTTGGTTCGCCTGGTTGTAACATACTCAACTCGACATGTGTGGGTTGACTTATCGAATCCTGCTCGCAATCGCACAATTTGTGTTTCGTCACGTGTACGACCCATTTCAGCTATGAAATACGCGCAAGAGCGAGAATATCTGTTTGAAACCGCGATTTCCAACCGCCCATTTGCGAAGGTTTATTCCGGCAAATTTCTACATCGAAAGGTAAAACCGAAGGATTAATTACAGGGAAATTTTTACTGTTTAAGTAGCCGTGAAAATTAATTCAGCGATCTATTTGCTAACATTTTACTCAATTCCAAGGAAAGATTATTAGAACAATAAAAGTTATTAAATACAAAATCTTATATACACATAT